GCAGATCGAAATGGAGGCGCATTCACCTTCGACGAAGACTTCTAACGCGGTTTCACGTCGTAGTTTCTTCTCGGGTTGGATAGACTGTTTTCATATTCCCTCTTCCGTATTTGACATCTGACTCGTACCATTCCGTTGTTCTTCTTCGGACTTCATACCCTACAAGTGTATTTTCTACAATGCCCACTTCAGATACCCTCCTATGGTTTCCGCTCGGATTGACCTGTACTTCTATGTGTGGCTATTTTTTTGGTGCATGATGCTCCGCTTGACATTCCCCTCCCCTCTCATCCTGAGATATTGACTTGACGACTGCATTTCTTCTTCTATTTTGTTTTCTTCTCCCCACTCGTCGTTTTGCGGGATGGGTCTCATGACGAGTTCTTACGTATGGGTTACGGCGTTCCTACTGTTATTTTGAAATGTTTTTTTTCTTTCTTTCCGCATTATGTTTTATCTGCATTATTTTTAGTTGGTATCTCAACTCCTCAGTTTGAAGGTGTACCCGGAAAACAGGCACAGGACAGGCGGAGTTGAGAAACCCTGCCTATGCTTCTGTGTAGTCTAGTTCTTGGTAATCCAAATAATATATGTATAACCACTGAAATTTTTTTGTCCTGCAATAGTGTCTGAGATGAAACACAAAATGATCGATCCTCAGGAATTTGATCTCCCCATCCACCACATGCATAAATCCATAAATCCTTGAAACCTACCATACAGCTGACAGACTTTACGCGATAAAAAATGATCTCTACATGACAGAAAAAACAGCTATGTCCCGAGTCTAAACTCCAGCAGAATATCATTTAAATACCTAATCATTGTAAAAAGAAGGGGTTAAATAAATAAATAAATAATTAATTAATTAATTAATTAATTAATTAATTAAAAATAAAGAGCAAATAGCCTACTTCTTTCCCTTGGTCTTCTTCTTTGATTTACCTCCACCGTTGCCAGGTCCCAGCGTGGCTGCATGCGCAGACGCATCTACCATCTCCGCATCCCCCGCCATGCCGACACTGCTGGCCGCGGCCGCATCCGCGCCCGTGACCGCTGCTACCGCCGTCTCAGTATCTGGCGCGCCGCTCGCCAATTTCCCTAGGCCTGCGATTAGCCGGCCGATTTCCGCAGCTTTGTTTGTGCGATATTTGAGGCAGATGCCGCTGGCCGGATGGAAGGTTTTGAGGGTTAGGGTTGCAGTCGTTTGTGATTGTGATTGTGTTTGCTTCTGTGTCGGTGTTGTCGAGGCACCTGGCGCGGAGGGTTTTGATTGTGCGGAGGTGGGTTGTGCGGCGGAGGATTTTTTGGAGGTGGGGTAGGAGTATTTTGTTGTTATTCGAGTCTGCAAAGGGCGTAATGCCAGGTCAGTTATATAACTTATTTGTACAGTACATATAAGACCAGAGCCTGGGCAAGTTGAGAAGGCGGGAAGGAGGACGACAGACGCTTGACCTACCGTGTCGGGATAGGCGTGCAGCAGGAGCGCTGACTGCTCTAGGTATTCCTGCGAGGTTGGTAGATACGGCATTTGTTGGGGGAGGGGGGAGTCTCTTGGAATCTGTCGAGAAATCGATTTGTTTTCCTCTGTTCAATTCGCTGGTTTTTCGTCGTTTTATCGTCAGATTCAACCGATGTTAAGATGGACTGAATAGACTAAATATCTCTGTCCAGCGCCCAGGAGTGTCGGTGAATGTAAACCTATGCTGCGCTCTCTCGATGTACTGTATATATACTCAGAGTTTGCAACCATGTATGTAAGCTAATCGCGGTTCGGCGTTCGAGGGCTGTGAACGAATAAGGATATTTTTGAAGAGCTTGCTTCTTCTTCTTCTTCTTCTTCTTCTTCTTCTTCAGTCTGTCGAGGGGAGAATCCGCAAGGTGTTCTGAGTTAATTTGTTCTATTCGTAAACAACAAGCCCAAGAAACTGCCCAGTGACAAGCAACCTTACAGAAAATCGGATCGCAGGATTTTGCAATGCGGAGTGGGAGTTGATCCTCCACACACTTTCTAACTCCAATTTTTATGCTGCAAGGCATTTATTTATTTAGCGAGATCTGGCGAAGCATGCACCTGCGTCATCTGACTGAGGGATAAAAGATAAAAAAGTCCGAAGAATACAAACCGATAACTATTATTTACATGAATTATGATGGGCATCTTTTGTATGTACATGCACAGTACCTGACGATGTTCAGCGAAATTCTCCACCCATATCCCTCCGATTTGCAAACGACATTCGTGTTCACTGTCTAGAGTATTTAAATGAATGGCAAGTGTGTTCGTAGCACCACTTGACCATGCTCCGGAATTTTAAGCCATATGTAGCTGCAACAGCCCCTCACCACCACCGCAGGCCGTGGGTCAACAGCTAATTTTTCAGATGCTACTAAGTAGTACTTATAAGTAGCACCCACAGTTGAGCCAGCTTCCTCTTCCTATTCTCGCCCTGAGCCCTCTAAGGCTGCAAAGCCAGCGTCCAGCCATAGCCGCAGACCACCACCTTCCCCCTCCTCCAAACATTTAGCCATTTGCAAAGCATCGAGAATCATAGTAGAAAGTGAGTGACACTCATCTCAGTCTCTCGCTAATAAATCGACAACAAATGTCTGTTGTTTGAGTGGATGCCTGTTCAGAAAGCATAACCAACCTACTATGGGAGGGGGGGAGCATTGTGAAGGGTTCGACATCCAACGGGTTTGGGTCCAGCGTGTTCGACGTCCAACGGGTTAATGCGCTCCTGGGACGGGTTCGACGTCCAACGGGTTAATGCGCTCCTGGGACGGGTTTGACGTCCAACGGGTTGGGTCCAGCGTGTTCGACTGGTCGCGGAAAGGTATGAATGTAGGGAACCAATGATGGTATAAAATATACAAAAAAAAAAAAAAAAAGATAAGAATTGAACATCTGCCCCTCCATACCTTCCTGTCACCATATATATATATATATATGCATATTCATAACCTGTATCTAAGCACACAATAAGCTTCCACCCCATCATCACCAATCATGGCGCGGGAAATCTACACTCGACACAGATCAACTTCGGATCCCCACTTTTCATCCGCATCGCGCGGAAATTCGCCCCCTGACATCGCGAACAGATGAGACTTTCCCCATCATTTTCATCATCATCGTCATCGTTATCGTCATCATCATCATCATCACCATCACTGTCTTCCTCTTCCTCCTCTTCTTCTGTTTCTTCATTTTCATTGCTATATCCATCACTGTCGTCATAAACGTCATAATACTTTTCCTCCTCCAGCCCTTCCTCCTCTGACGTGGAAACGATATCGCTGCTCAATGTGCTCACCCTACTCACCTGTTTTGAGAACGGATGTCCCTCATCGTGCTCGAGTGAGCCAACAGGTCGCAAGCTTCCTGACGCTTGGGAGGCGAATGTATCCTTATTCCAGTACATGTAGCTCTGATTGCCCGAGAGGAAGAGGTTGTTGTGCGAGTTTGTGGCTGTTGGTGTTGCTGTTGCTGCTGCGGCTGCTGCGAGATTCTCTTTGCGGCGGTGCTTATTTTTGGTATGTGGTGCCGGCTGTGGAATATATTCAGACGGTGCTGCACCGGAAAAAGGGCTGTCTATGATGAAAGGCTGTTTCAATGAAAAGGTAGGGGTGAACGAACGTCTAGACGGTTCCCCCGCTAAGTTGGAAGCTATTGGGAGGTGGCCCTGTTGAGGTTTATCATTTTGCCTTGCGGGGAACTTGCTGGGCGAGACGCTCCGAGTCATGGAAAGGCTAGAGCGAAGGTTGTCGACGCTTGAATTCTCTGTGCGCATTACTGTATTTCGCCACGATAATATGCGCTCAGAAGGTGTTTTATGGGAGGAGTCTTTCCCAATTGACGAAGAAATACTGTGGCGCGTAGAGACCGAGTTATTTCGGCCAAGAATCCTTCGGGAGAAGCCAGTATCCCAAACATCACTACGCAACTTGTGGTATCCACAATCCTGTCGAAAGGCTTTAATGGTGCCTTTAGCATCCGCAGCGATGATAATGTTTCCGCACGGGTGAGCGAATTTTGTTGAGGGTGCCTGCAGTTCGTCTGCTTTCCGGCTAAGAGGAAATGTGGAACTTCTGGGAGTTGGCGCCATCGACTCTTCCCGAGACCCAGCTGCATCGGTTACGGGTTTAGACGTCACGGACACTGCTTGGCTGACAAGAGTAACGGGGGGTGGGTTGCAAAGATCATAAAGGAGGTCACCGGAAGTTCCAAGCAACTGTTTAGATTTGGCCGGAGCCATAATTGCGCTCGTGACGATAGAGGAATGTGACTCGAAGATCTCAACAGCGCGCTTCTCCGGATCCCTTTCTGGCGAAGAGATAGGCCATATATACACCTTTCTATCCTCGCTTCCACAGATAACATATTTGCCATCGCTGCTAAATGTAGCCCGAATTTGACTGGTATGGTTTGCATTTCCTCGAAATTTAGCCTCCAGTGTGCGATACCTGAAATTGTATAGACGGATTCGTGAGTCATTGCTCGTGATAAGAAGCTTCACTGAGCCGTTTGGGTCATTGGGTGGCAGTGAGATCGCGTCAATGCCGGTTATTTTGCTTCCCTTGGCATTCCGGCCACGCGCTGATCTCACATGGATTTGGGACTGTATATTCAAGCCGTCCGTTTCAAGGATGAGGCAGAGTCCATTCAGGCAACCGGCAATAGAATGCTTCCCGTCAGGGGTAAAAGCAACCGAAGTTATCATATACGGCAGGGTAGCCACAAAAGCTACGCTCTTGTCTGGTATGCTCCATAACCGCAGTTTTGTATCCAGAGACCCAGCGAGGAAAAAGCGGTCATCTTGGGGATGAAATTGCACAGACGTTACAAAGTCGCTGTGATTAAAACAACAAAGACATTCGTTTCTCGTAACATGCCACAATCTGACTGTTTTATCCATCGAGGTGGACAGCAAGAAATTATTCTTCAAAACGCTCAATTAGCACCATATCCAAAGGGATAATTTTACTGTATATTGTAGTGCGATGTTGCCGCTAGAAACTTGGAAACACTTACCTTGCTCCAAGTCAAATCAACGATGCTCGCAGAGTGGCCTTCGTATTCCCGCACAGGTTGTGACTTAAACACGGGAGCCCTTAGCCGTATGAATGGTTTGTCATTTTGGGCCTCTTCTTCGATCTCATGCGCCTGGCGATCCTCACGTGTTGCAATGACAGCCCATATTCGAACCTTTTTATCCTGTCCAGCTGCAGCGAAGAATTTTCCATCCTTAGAAAACTCAAGTGCCCATATTGCCTTTCCAGTCGACGGAGTATCATCTGAACTGGCCGAACTATCCTTATCTTCTTGGTGCTGGCTCTTGGCCGAAGGATATGTACTATAGAGCTCTTGAGCGATAAATAGGCGATTAAAATCTTTATCCTTCTTATGACGTGAACGGACTTTGATATATTTCGGTGGTGGGGGATATCGAGGGATAAACCCTATCGGCTGGGCAAATACCTCGGCATCCATACCAGTGGCACGGATCTCGCCGGTTTCAGAGACATCGTCTTTCCATTCAGGGGGGCCTGTTTTTTTCTTACTGCCGATGATACGGCTCAAGAATGAAACGCCCTTCCTGGAGTCAAGGGAAAGTGGTGGGAGATGATAGCGTTAGCGTCTCTTAGAAACAAAAGGCTTTCCGAGCAAGTTTTAACATAACAGGCAGGGCAGGAAACAAAAATTCACCCATGGTTCTTGCGCACAAGGGAGAATTCTGGAGTTGTTCCGCAACAGGGGATTATAGACTTACTTCTTGTCTTTCGAATTTTTCAGAGACAGATTTGTTCCCCATCCTGGAGAAAAGTCTTCTTGGATAAAGGGCCGCTGGTATTCCGATCCACCCGGTTGGGCGTCGGATTTTGTGTAAGGTCGTAATCTGGGGGGATGTGATTTATTTGTATTCGTTCGTTGCAGGATATGCTTGTAAGGCACACAGAGAAACTCAAGTAATCAGCAAAGAAATCCACAGTCTATGAATTCCGGTTCTCTCCGGGCGAATTTACGCCTATGGGGAATTAAAGAAGGTAGAGAGCGGCGATTGGTGGTCGATGATGAATGATGAGGCTTTTTGTCTCTTCCGGTCTCTTTCCTAGTGTCAGGGAGATATAATCAAAAAGAGACATACCTCGGATAGCGGGTCGATTAGTGTCTGGAGCTGATTATTAGTCCCGATGCCCGTTGAGAGTTTCAATGGGAGTTGCGGTAACGAAGGCGAGGCTGCCACTGAGGGTGATTTGGGGATAGAAGTCGCCGTATGGCTTTTCACTATTAACGGCTTGATGTTGTTGCGAAGGCTGCTCTCCTCATCTTTACAAATGGCCGTACTGGCCGTACTCGTCCGTGAAGGCTTCCGCGCATCTGGAGGTTGCAGTACAGGGCTGCTGTGACTTGTCGAAGCTCCATTTCCTGCGGCTGCTGTTGCCCCTGAATCAGCATGTTGCGAATGGCGAATAGCTATTAAACCTGCGCATGCCTGGCTGCACACCCACAAGCCATGGACATTGGGCGGGCCGAATCCCAATTGCAACCCGATGCATACCTTCGAAAACGGCCTTTCCGTCATGGTCCATGTTGCAATCCTTTGGAATAAAAATGAGTTAGGGATCGTCAGGGCACTCGAGAGCAGCGGAGGTCGGAAAGTAGCCTTCCATCAGGCCGCTGGAGCGCTGTCGCGAGAGTGTGCATTGAAAAACAGAGGGGAACGGAGGGGCAAAACCACGCAAAGTGTATATCGATACTATGGATGCAAGAAGCGACGAATCCAATTCCTCTGCACTGACTTACACTTGCTTGATCGCATCCCCCGGAGGTTTGTGGGCTGTGGGCAGTGGTGTTGACCTCTTGGGGAAGATTCATTCATAATTTATAAGTGAAAAGTTCGCCCGATCAATCGGCCCCCTAGGGCCCTAGACAAGGACTGAGAACGGCTCATTTGTGAGATGATGACATCAAGCGGCCCAAACTCCCCGGCGCCGCATCGCCAGTCGCATTGTTGGAAAGTTAACAAGGCCAAACCGGGTTGGTTTTGGGGTTGTACAGTACACAGTAACTGCGAATATTTATATTATTGCCCGGGGGCCGTCCAAGTGGTGCTTGCCGTGCGATCCGCGAGGTTATTGACGGTAGTTACTAATAAATAATACATTTCTGAAGGAGTGAAGGAGCCGATGTTGATTTCTAAGTAACCAACCGCAGGTTATCCATGGAATCCTCCGCAACTTGCTCCAAGGTTGCATTTGTTCTCCCGAGCCTCCGATTGTCCTGTGCGTGTACAGTACATACATACCTGGATATATTATACGCCGTTTTAACTACGCAGTATATCGCGTCTACATGTCCACTGAAAAGGGCCCCAGTGCAAGCCTCGGATTTTTTTTCTTTTTCTTTTTCTTTTTCTTTTGGTTAGTTAACTAGTGGGGTGGCCTCATCTGCGCACTCCATCTCCGTTCTTTCAATTTCCAAGCTACAAAGAGTACAGAAGAATAACATATCTGCAAATGACCTGTGCAGTCTCATATCCTTGATCTCGATCATTTCAGTTATAAATCAAGGCAAACTTCCCGCCATCTCTCAGAGCTTTGTATGATTCTTAGAGACTTCACTTCACTCTATCTAATAATTATAGTATTTTCTTATCTTCTAACTGAGAATCATTTATAATTACTATAAAGAGATTTTTCAGAGAAGATAAAACAAGTGTTTAATCTTTTTAAAATACTAATGAAATCTCTGCAGCAGTCTCAATAATAATTTCATTAATTATATTATTTTTGTGTGAACATTGTGAATACACTAGAAACAATTACGGAAGCCCTGCAACCCAGGTTGGTATAATCACCTTGTGTTGAAGGAATAAGGTATAGCTAGACTCATCCTCTGAGTAAGGGGCGTAAGGGACTTCTCCATTATACATTTGGTCAATCCACCAGATCTCTTCGTTTTTCAAATACTCCTCAATTGCCCCTTGGAAGTTGATACTTGATGCGCTGTTTGATTCCTCCTCACCATCATGGGGTGCAAGAAAATGACTGTCAATATCATCGACATGATCCGATGGTCACTTCCCAGGGTTCTGGGCTTTAACAGCGCCGTCGCAAAAGTCTCCAGCCGCTCTCATATTGAATTGTGATGGAGATGAGACAGGTTTGTTGTCAGTCAACGAATCTCTAGTTGGTGGATGGCTCCATTGTCGGCTTTTTGCCTTCGATGTGTTGTTGTCTTCGTGGACGAAGGCGCTCCACATGGGACCAAGTGGGAATTCGCGTCGACCTGGCTTCACAAAATTCTGGAACCGTATAAACAAGGACGCCATGAGATTGTGCACATCCAAAAGCAGGGGCGATGGGTCTTCGACGCCATCG